GACGCTCATTTTCAGCGTCAAAACAGGTCACGTGATCAAAATTGCTTGGTATTCGTCAATTTTGATCATGTGACCTGTTTTGACGCTGAAAATGAGCGTCGAGCGTCAGCGTGAAAAGGCACCTTTAGGCGTCGTCTACAATACACGGAGTAAGAAGTAAGAATAAGAAATTGACCAATCATAGTCGAATGTGAGAAGAATAATCGACTGTGATTGGTCAATTTCTTATAGCGTTTTTGATTGGGGTGCACTGGCTGCACTCAGTGTCAAGAGCGTGTTCGATTGGCAGTGCCAATGAGCACTTGGCTAGTGTCACGTGTTTATTTGATCGCACGACACTCGCGTAGTGCGAACTCAGTGCGCACTAAGGTCGTGGTCCGAATCATGCTGACAACGCTCCTGAGCATTGTTTGTCTTCGTTTAACATTTGACAAACAACAAGGATGAAATGATTTTTAAGCGTTGTGAGCGTGTATCGGACCGCGGTCTATGTGGCACGAGATATTTTGACGGTGCCAGTTCAGTGCACGTTTTATCACAGTTAAGGATATACATAGGGACAAGCAAATCTGCGCAGTTGAATTGAAAACGGGGTCTTGTCCCTACTCTTAATATCTTTTACTGTAGTTTTGTAACATTTTGTTGAACATTGCTTCAAAGTGAACAAAAATGAGTTTCAGCTTTAGCACTGAAAATCTTGGCGTATTCTTTTGAACTTGCACTATTCAGTGCAACCCATGGAACTCGTCCAGTGTTGGTGTGAACTGAGTGCGCACTGGTGCGCACTAACTTTTGCCCAATCGAAAACGCTATTACTCTTACTTCTTACTCCGTGTATTGTAGACGACGCCCTTACATGCGGCGTAACTTGTGTAAGCGTAACTTGCGCCGACCAATCATATCATTTCACTTGAACATCAGTTTCTGTCTAGTCACTTTATGCTTTTCACGCTATTTTGTTGTTACGCCGAAACATGATAGAACCACCATGCGTCGAATCTAATTTCTGGCTCATTTTAGCTTATTCTGTTTGAAAAAATGCACAAGGGATTCGATTTTGCAACAGGGTACCTATCATAGAACAAGTCTATGAAATATGTCGGAATGGATTCCGATCGGAATTATTCCGCTTTCCCTAGAAAATACAATAGATTTCTAATCCATTCCGACATATTTCATGATAGGTACCCAGTACAATTATAGAAGTCGTGCGTCCTTTTGCATCGCGTGAAAAGTCGAAACCCATGTGGAAACAATACAATTATAGACCTCATTTTGCCTCTGTGATAAATTTCCTAACCTCAATAGTCATCAACTTTAACGCTTAACATCTCAGATCACAAGGCAGAACGACTTTCTTTTTGCCAGATTCTTTCGTTTCATGCAAAAACGCGTCGAATAAGCCTAAGGCCGGAATCATCACAAGGCAGAACGATGTTTTTTTTTGCCAGATTCTTTCGTTTCATGCAAAAACGCGTCGAATAAGCCTAAGGCCGGAATCAGACTACGCATTGAAGAATGAGATTGAAGATTGAAAGATTGAAGTTTGATTAATCAGAACAAAAGGAACCAAAATTTCTTTGTCCTCATTGGTGAAATTTCAATCTTTAATCTTTAATCTCAATCTTCAATGCATAGTCTGATTCCGGCCTAAGAGTGGTCTCACAAAATTTTCCGATTTTAATAATTTATTCGATTATCCGCTCATATATACGTGATGGAAAGGTGCCGGTTCCCCATGAGGCGTACTTTTCGATATGCGTAGGTTACGAAAACCAATCGTAAATTCGTTTAGCATTTCTTTAGAGTGTACAACAGAAATTCTAATCAGCAATTGCATAGTTCCGGATTTCTCTAATCTTCCGCGAAATACGCCCAATGTGAATGCCGGCTTTCAGAATGGCGTATTCTAGTAAATAAAAAATAACGTATTCTAGTAAATTACTAGAATACGCAGGTTATGCTTACGCAAGTTACACCGCATGTGACGGCACCCTTAAGGCCTGTCTACAATACACGAAGTAAGAAGTAAGAGTAAGAAATTGACCAATCACGATCGATTATTCTTCTCACATTCGACTGTGATTGGTCAATTTCTTACTCTTACTTCTTACTCCGTGTATTGTAGACGGGCCTTTAGAGTGCTTACCCATGCAGCGGAATAGTGTAACGCGGAACGAGAGCAGAACCAATCACAAGTGTTCCGCGCCAACTTCAATTGGTGCGGAACGCTTGTGATTGGTTCTGCTTTCGTTACGCGTTATGCTATTTCGCTGCATGGGTAAGCACCACTGAGCTCGATACATACTGGAGAGAGCCATCAGTATGAAAATAGTGTTGGGAGGCGGCCCGACTATGCGAGAGTGACAGCCATGCCCGATGGGTATCTCTGCCTCACTTTAGTGGTATTACCGTCGCTAAAAACATTAGCCTCAGTTGTGCCTGCGAAATGTTGCAAGATATTGCCAGATACGTCCTGTGTTTGTGAAATAAATAAAAAATAAAGAAATGGTACATCATTGCCTAATAAATAACTGCAAAAGTATTTGGATAAAAGACGATGTTACTTTTCATAGGTAAATATAATTAAAATTATTTAAAACGTGTACGTATATTGCGATATACTGTTACATTATTTCAAGCTTTAAAACGTTTTCTCCGAGGAAAATTTTACTCGAAATAATCAAATAATGTATACTATATCATATTGGGTAAAATTTTTTTCGGAAAGAACGTTTGGAATTTAGCTACAGATAACCCAGCCTGTACAGATAGCGGAAAATCTATGCGAATGATAGTAAAAAACCAAAACAAAAGGATATACATAAAATAACAATATTTATGCCTTGTTCGTATAAATTCACTCTTTTAATATTTTAGTTAAATTTGCTCTTTTTTCATATTTTAGTTAAATATCGTCTTTCGCTAAAATACCAGGTATGTAACCCACACAACACATAGACGCCCGTTGGGCGTCCAAAGGATGCCCTGGATTTTCCGGATGGGCGCCCAATTCATGCCCCAAATAGGTCCCATGGATACTCCAAGGGCATCCAATGGATGCACCAATGACCGCTCATTTTATGCCCATTGGATGCTCATTTTAAGGACATGAAATGGATATATTTTGGGCACGTTTCGGATCTTTTCAGGTTTCATTTAACGTCCATTATTTGCTCGTTTGACGCCCATACAGTGTCCATTTGATGTCCGCGTTCATTCCTGATCAGGATAGGGATCGGATATGATCGAAGCACGTATTTTTATACTTTTTGCATATTTTGGAAATTATAACTATAAGCGTGTTCCGACACTGTCAGTACTGAAAATCTACAGTGTATTATGAATTTTTAGTACTGGCAGTGCATTTCGGAACACGGTCTATATTACAATGAAAAAGTTATAATTCCCAAAATCTGCAAAAAGAATTATAAAAATTTGCTTCTATCATAAAAAATAAAGAGGTACCTAATTACATGTATTCTTATATTTTTATTGTTTTAATTTCAAAACGTATTATGTATATTATTTATGTATAATATTTAAACTTAATTATTTAATGGAGAATCAATTTTGCATTCTTTTCCACGCTACCTTTGAAAGTTAAATGCAACAGACGCATTATTTATAATATATCTTCTAAATTATTCATTGTAACTATTTTAAACGTAAGAATTGAGAACAAAATGTGGTACCTTACAGCAGGTTGAATATAATAAATGAAATTACTGACCTTGTAAAAATATAGACGTAATACATGTATATGTAACAGATAAAGAGAAGAATGCACGAGGACAATTTCTTACATACTAACAGTAACGCATCAGACATAAAATCTCGAAAAACGAAAACAACGATTATACATTATAGTATAATTACCATAGCAAAAAAATTTGAATAACAATAACGCAACATAATATACATAATGTCCATATAGTTACCACATAAAACAAAAGCAAAAGAGTAAAGGCAACAAAAAGGGCTGAGAAAGAGAGATACAGAGTTTTCGATTGTGTCAAAGAGGAATACATAAATACAGACATGAAAATGAGATTAAGTCAGTTACGATAAAACGGAATAGCTAAAAAAGAAGAGTAGAAAAGAAAAAAACAAAAAGTAAAATAATCTCTTTCTCTCTCTCTTTCCCTCTCTTTCTTATCTCCCCCTCTCTCTCTCTCCCTCTCTCTCAGATAGAAAAAGAGTAAAATATAAAGAGAGAAAAAAAGGAGTAGGGAGAGAGCGAACAAAATATGAAGATATAGAATAGATAGAGTAGACACTATTGCACTGCTATATAGTGTCGCTTAACTGTCCTCCTCCTGATTCTCCGCGTTGTCCTTGTCCTTGCTTACGTTCTCATCTTTCGCGTTGTCTTTATCCTTATTGCTCTTTTTGTCCTTTGAATGGCGAAACCAGTTAATTATTGCAATTTCTATTTTCCTCATGTTAATTTTGAAGATGGTTTGCACGGTTTCTGCGAATAAGTAAAAAAAATTTTTATCTGTGGTTATATCCATGTAGAAGATGTCTTCTTCTTATTACTTAATGGCTCCCGCCTCCAAACAACAAAAGGAGGTCGATACGGCCAGATCACGTCTTGCTTGAACGAAACTACTTGTGTCATGAAATAGTAAAATTATATACACGACAGAGCGCCAAAAGTGGAGCTGACTGCTCCAACTAGTATACCGCGCGACCGAGTCAAGCGGAGCGGAATGCTTCGCTAGGATGGGAAGGGG